AGTCTAATACATTTTGTGTTGGCCAATCTTTTCGACCTCGATATCCGATTGCAATATCATTTAGTACCTTAACACGAATATGTGTTTCATTTATTACTCCAATACAATTTCGTATAAATGTATATATATGAATGCTTTCATATATTATATAATTGTTAAATAAATAAATATCTTAGAAAAGTTGCATATGTAAAATATAACGAAGATTTCTTACCTTGAAAAAAGGAAAAAATCTACTACTATTGGAACCTCCGAACCAAGTGGTTGTTTAAGGAGTTCGTTTTCAAGGAAAATCACTGCTCGTAACACATTATGAAAATATCGACTAATAGTTTCACCTAACCGATGAAAATAAAATATGAGCTCTTGATTTTTCCAGTTGTGACCTAAAATATGGAGGAAGTTAACAATTTGCTCCTCTATAATTGCTCGCCTATAGTCCTTCAAATTACCGCTTCCTCTCAACATTCAACATAAGTGGAAGAAAGCTTAAGGACTCATTCGTATAATATCTCGATAGGACGTCTTACTTGAAGTTAACCTATTTAGTAATTCTTGGCGTAGATGATCTCTTGCAGCACTTCCTTTAGTTACGGAGTTTACGAACTACAAATGCTTGAGCATTAATTAGGTGTAATGCATGCACAAGATGACAAATTAGTTGTAGAATGGCCATTCGATGTCTTCTTTTCCAATTCTCCAAGATCCGTCGATGCCGTTCTTGACATTCTTTAATTTTTTTCGAATGTTTTGCAACTTTCTTAGGATCGAAATAACACCACCATTTGATTGCAACAAGTTCTGATTCGGTGTATTACATCTTTTTCTTCATCATGCATGTTCTCAATGACATTCATTTCCATTTATATTAAATGTAAAATATTGTAATATTACTATGTAAACTAATGTCATAAAAACATAAACTTCTTGAAAGTAAAAAGTGCACATATGTAGCATTACATAATATAGAAACACATATCAAATGATATATGTAGATAGATTTCAAGAAAAAATATAGTTTTATAATAGCCAAGGATATAAAAAACTTACCTCTCTTGATTACGGAAGATATATCTTATCATAAATCAAAACCAGTTGACAAGAATCTACTCGCTATTCTCCTATCTAGCATTGAATGTTCATAAAATCAAATGAATCAACAATTCAAATGAATTTTAAAAAACTAATCCAAAGCAATCTATATTACAAATCAAATTGACATTTACAAAACTAAACAGACAAATTGATTGCAGCTAAAATAACAACCCAAACTATGAACCATCAAATATATATATATATATATATATATATATATATATATATATATATATATATATATATATATAAATTGGCGACAAAAACCACACGTAAAAAGAAAAAAATAAAAATAAAAACATACAGGAATAACCGAACAAAGAACAATAAATACTTTCAATGCAACTACAATAATAGAATTTGAATATGTTATTTGACGAAAAAAATCTTAATGACATAGCAGGTAGCTAGCTAGTGTTGGAGATGGGTGGTAATAGAATTAGGCCTTGAGATTAGAGCTAGCTAGTGTTTTGATACACATTTACATGAGGCTAGCATCCGCAAGCGTCTATTTTACATTAATTACATTTCATCTTCTCTCTTTGAAAAAAAATTAATTACATGTTGAGGAAAAAATTATAAAGTTTTTTTTTTCCCATTTTTGATGGAACAAAAAATAAATAAAGGTGTACGTGTGAGACATTGTGAATATATATTAATATCGACGGGTTGAATTGATGATTATCATTTTTAGTAATTTGGGTGGGATGTCAAAAAGTATCGCTAAGTGTATTAATTAAATGGTTATTTCTATAACTTTTTTTTATACAATTATCAATATATTTTTCATTAATTATCAAAAAAATTGATAAGAATCATAATTTATTTGATGAATTTAGGAGTATCCCATATCAAATACTATAACTATTTAAGTTACAAAAAATTGCATGTACTGCTGCAACATGCACATAACATAAAATGACAATTTTGAATCATGTATCTTGATAACAATATGAAATTTCAACGAGTAAGTTACCATATCTAGGTGAGACCCATCAAGCAAGCATGTACAACAAAAATCATTCCGTTGTCATGAATCGTCGAGTTCAATATATTTTTCAAGAATGGCTTTCTTTCGCTTTGTACTCTCCTCTTTTATTCTATCGAGATCTTCCTCCTCGTGTTCGAGCTAATTTCAATGCAATCCTTTTTTCAAAATCATCTTGTTCATCTTCATCTCTCGAAACCATATATTAAAAACATAGAAGTTAGGTCAAAAAACATACCGACCAAATATATATTTTCTTGAAGTTAAAAGACGTTTTGAATTGAAGTAAGCATTTCAATAATCGCATTACAACCAACCATTTATTTATTCATATTTTGTTCCTTTCAAAGGCTCATACACGATTAAGCACCTTATATTTAGATGTAAAACAGGTAAATAATGAAAAGGCCAATACAATTCAGCGTCGAGCATATTAGAAAATCAAGTCCACAAGCTATGAATTTTCTCCAGGAAAAAAAATAAAATAAAGAAACATTCAAATGTTCCCAACACAAAACACATACATGTATTTTTGTAGTCCGAAATGTGATCCAAAGAATATGTGGTAGTTCACACAAATCCAAAATTATATGTATACTTGGACATCTACCATGTGCTTTCGCATTTGAATAAAAAGAGAACATTGCCTAAAGACAGTACTTGTCATTTAAATACTAAGATGAGAAACCGGACAGTTGTTGTAGAAGCATTAGCTACCGGCATTAAGTGCGAAATTTTCTTACCAACCAAGTCTCCTGGTGAGACATATTAGTAGTTTCAAAAGATAACTTGGCCAATATGCAGTCCATTTGTCAATTCGAAGCATATTTGAAAAGAAATAATAAGGAATTGGAATCTAAAACGAGAAAATTCATAGCTCGAGTCCACAATCCTATTTGCATATGTCAATCCACATAAGTCAAGGAACTATTCGGACAAGATGGTCGAGAATAGGAGCTTTAGAAATCAAAATGAATCTAGTAGCCCAAAACAGAGCTAATAATTAAACTGTCCCTATTCACACATCAATGCCAAATCGTCTACCACTTCTAACTTGATAGAGTTTTAAAGGGCGTTAAAGATCAAGCGCTCTCTTCTTCATACTAGTAGTAACAAGTGTGTGCTAAAAATAACCCTCTTCGATTCAACATTGCTCGTATGGAAAGAGTTGAGACGAGAGAGCAAGAGCAAGTACACTAACATGCTTCCGGATGTTAAAACCAAAGGCAGTTGTTCTCCGCCCTCCGCTATATTGACACCAATCTAAGCAACTAAATCAAAGGAAATAACAAATAATAAGCACAAACCGAAGGGCGACTGTCCTTTGTTCTCTGCGTCTCTCGCTATGTTGACGGGGAGGAGGTAAAACTTTAGAAAGTTCTCGCGAGCGGGAAAAGGAGAACATGGTGTATTTTTTCATTTTTAGTCTAATTTTGACATTGAATTTCAAACCGAAATGACATCCCACATTCTAGATCAAACACAACCCATCTTATAGAAGACAAATAACAAAATCAAACAACAAATTACTTACCCTCGCTTACGCTACGACTTTGGATGAATTTTTCTTTTTGATTTGCGGATCCGGTGTAAGCTTACACCAATACGGAGGTCGCTTGGATGTGATGAAACACCAATACTATGGGTATAAGCTTTGCTTGCTCGGAAACACAATGATGTTCGGAGAGAAAGCGCAAGTAACGCCAGTAACCCTGTCTTGATTTGCAAATTTGTTTAGTTATCGTAGCGGTTTACAAAAGAGAGGGACGACCGAGAGGGAGAAGGCAAAAACGTGATCGAAAAAAAATGAAGTATCACGTTTTTCCTTCCATTTCCTCCCAATTTTGAGAGGAAAATGGGTCCCACTTATTTTATGTTTTTTTATTATTTTTTTTCTTTCCACTCGCTTTCCTCTCTTGTCCAAACGAAGGAAAACATTTCTTTCGTCTCCCTCACTTTCCTCCCTATCCAAACACAGGATTAGAAACTTAAGTCTTCGTGGTATTCTTCTTCTTATTATTATTATTATATCCTTCAATAATAGTTAAGTTTAGTCCATAAACGACTAAAATTGATCTCTCGTATAAAATTTTTAGTGTTCAATTTATCTTTATATTTTTAATTATTTTCATTATGTTTTTTAATATAGTTTCAATTTTTTTAATTTTAAACAAAATTTTTAATCGAAATATCCTTAACCGAAATGAAAAAACAAAGAAAAAACTTAAAAGTAATATGACTTACATATAAAAAATTTTAAGTCCTTAAAATTTATTTTTTTAGTTAGAGGCATTCTGATTCAAAAATTTAATCATAGTCGAAAAAATTAATTAAAAAAATAAATTGAAAATTTAAATATTATTTAAAAACATAATAAATAAAATTAAAATAAGTAAAAGCATATTGAAAACTTATGTTACTGTATAAGAATATATACTATATAGACTAATTTACCTATAATTTTATGTTAGCATTTGATGGGTATATATGTAATTTATTTTATATAAATAAAAAAAATAATATCATGCCTTATAAGTAGTACTTATCGCATTGGTTCAGGCACAGGAGCTAATTTTTAGCCATCCATTGGATCTGGATAATGCCAATTAGACAAAAACGTCGTTTTTGCTAGCCAGCCTCCAAACATTTTTTTCACTTCGAGGTAAAAGTTGCTCAAAGTAAAAATAAAAGTAAAATCCTCTCGTTTCCTCTCTTTCCGTTGTCAGTCGTCAACACCACTCGTCAGTATATAAAAAGTCAAAAAAAGCAAAGCAAACGGCACGTCCCTTCAAAGCTACCAGCTTGGCTAACAGAGAGAGAGAGAGAGAGAGAGACAGAAACGAACCTCCACAGCAACTTCTAGAGAGAAAAAGGCTTGATTTCATCCTTTGTGGAGAGAGAAACACAGAATAGTAAAATGGCTGCCTTTGATGCATTTGAAGAGATTCAACCTTCAAATCATAGATCTTTCGATGAAGTAGACGAGGAGAGCTACTCCAACTTCGGTTCTTACTCCACGGCCGCCGCTCCTGGTGAGTTCTCCGGAGGAGATGTGTCCGTCGATCACGCGAGTGGTTCTCCTGATGTTTTCGGGTTTGGATCTGAAGCGGATCCGAGTTACTCTAATCAGAGTCCGTTCGGATCGGTGCATGTAGAGAACGGGAATGGTAATGGATATAATGGAGTGGACGACAGCGTTTTTGTGAGTGATGGACCTATCCTTCCTCCACCTACTGAAATGGAGCCCGAGGAGGGTTTCGCTCTTCGCGAGTGGCGTCGGTGAGAGTCTTTTTCTTTCATTTGATTGATTGATTTATTTATTCGGTTTTCTTTCTCTTAAGATCTGTTTTTTGTTTGTAGTAGATGAAGTAAATTGATTGATCGGTTTATGGCAAGTGCTTAGCTTTAGACTTCAGTGTTAATTGATAATTTAGGACTTAATTTAATGCGATCTGCACAAGGTTATGGGCTTATGGAATCACATTCCGGTGCTGATCTGGTGATCCGTGCTTGGATTTGGTGGTTCGTGTTGGGTGAGTTCAGTTGAGCTGTGGGGGTTTGAATTATGGGAAAGAATGCTACTCGAATCTATTTAAGTTGAGCTTTGACTTTCCTTTTCCCTTAGTCAGTTGTTTGATCCTGATGTATGGAATTTTTTTGGTGCCTACTTAAGTGGGTTTGGTGATTCACTTATGGAAGTACTTGACTCTGAATTGACTGATTTGTTTTAGGGGAGAGAGTTTTATTGCTTAGTTGATCGTTAGGAGCTTAATTTAATGCAATCTTTTAGATGTTATTAGCTAGTTTTGGAGATCTAATCTCTACTTGCAATTATGTATTGTGAGATCGAGGCTGCAGTTCCATGTCTGGGGATTTTGGAATTTGGATAGTGGGTTTAGATTTTGCGCTGAGGGATTGTGTCTGAGGAGTTAGTGCCTTATGCACCAGTGCTTTCAGGGACTGAATTATGAGAGGGTTGTTAGTTGAGGAATCAATTGGAATTGAGTTGGGGTTATGTGTTGTATATTGAGCATTCAATGGTTCATTGGCGATTAGGTAACTTTTTTATCTTAATTTATGCATTTATGGAGGTGCCTATTTTTGTTAATTTGGTGATTCAATAATTGAAGTAGCTAGGATTGTACAGGTTGGATGATTTACTTAATTTAGGATTTTGTTTGGATACTCCTTAGGGTATTCCTGTATCTGTGTAGTTATTCACTCTGCTATATGGGTTGAGCATGGTTGTAAACTACAGATTACCAGATGGTATGATATCTGCCTTGACAATTTATTTATAGTGGAAGGATGATGTGAGAATGGAAAGGAATCTTAGCTTGTTTTTCATTGTTTGTCGCATCTGCCTCATTCCAGGTATCAGACGTTTTTTTTGCAATTATCCAGACAAGATGAATTCAATCTCCAGCATATTGAAGTATAATAGGAACCCTGCTATGAATTTGTGATGGAGTTAGAAATTTTGAAAGATTCAGAAGCATAGAATTTTCGAGATCAATCGTCTCAGAAGTTGCTTTTATGATGCATGTCTTGTCAAAGTATCCCGTAATTTGTTATTCCAATTGTAGGAGTCGATCACTGTTTATAAAATAACATCAGCATGTATATTCATAATTCTCTTGAAATTTTCCGCCCATCAAATTTATGACCTGTTTGGTTTGGGCAGCAAAAGATATCCAGTAATTTTGTTATTCCAACAGGAATGGATCACTGTTCATAAAATAACATCTGCATGTGTATTCACAATTCTCTTGGAACTTTTCTGCTTATCAAATTTATGACCTGTTTGGATTGGGCAGTCAAAATGCCATGCATCTTGAGGAAAAGGAAAAGAGGGAGAAGGAGATGAGGAAACAGATAATTGAAGAAGCTGAGGAGTATATAAAAGGTTTCTATGAGAAGAGGAAGGTCAATATTGAGACCAACATAGCTACTAACAGAGAAAGGGAGAAGGTAATTGTTTCAAAGAGTTTTAAATTTTTTATGCATAATGTACCAGTTGCCATGATTTGATGATGAGTATTTGTATGGATAGTTGTACTTGGCCAATCAAGAGAAATTCCACAAAGAGGCAGACAAACAGTACTGGAAAGCAATAGCGGAGCTTATTCCTCGTGAAGTTCCTAATATTGAGAAGAGGAGAGGCAAGAAGGATAAGGATCAAGATAAGAAGCCATCAATTACAGTAGTACATGGCCCGAAGCCAGGAAAACCCACTGATCTTTCAAGGTTGCGGCAGATCCTTGTTAAGTTGAAGCATACTCCCCCGCCTCATATGATCCCACCCCCACCTCCTCCAAAGGATGCCAAGGATGGGAAGGATGGAAAAGACAGCAAAAGTGGAAAAGATGCGGCATCAGGTGCAACTGCATCCGGAGCAAAGGCAGAGGCTGCCCCACCTGCCAAAGATGCTCCTGTAAAAGGTTCCTCCGACTCACCCAAAGAAGATGTTGCTGCTGCAAGTGCCCAGCCTGCCGCAGAACCAGAGCCAAAACCAGCTACCTAATCCCTCACATTTCTCTCTTTCTTGTTGTTTAACTCTATACTTTTTTTGTACCATCTTTATCGAGGTTTTATTTTGTCGATTGATGTCTCTCGTGTCTTTTATCACATAATGACTAGGTATGTTGGCCCTGTTATTTGCGTCCGGCTTTAATCTCTCTTTTTTGGCCACATGTTGTACGGACTGAGATTTGAAATTGGTTTTGTTTTACATTGTCTCATGGAATTAGTCCTCTACGTCCGCTCGTTTCTTTCTTGTCATATTCGGTTTCTTGCAGGGAAGCAACAGAAGATTTTACTCCTATTATAATAACTGAGCATAAAATGCTTTGGCTTTTGCTGTTTCCACTCATGCAAATTTGATCTAATACTGAAGTATACTTCTATTAGTTTGGAAACAGAATGATTTTGTCTCAAGTTTTGTCAAACTTCCGAAATGTAATTTTGTTTTTTAATGACTTAAATTATTCTGTTTCCAAATTAACTATATTTAATTATTGGATCAAACTTTGTAACGTATGGACTAATTTGATTCCCGACGTAACGGTGGCATCTAAAATTCAAGCTCTTGCAAAAGAAACGTTTAAACTTCAACATAGATCCCACCGTAACTTCCATACCGTAATTATGACAGTAGATTGGGATGAAACAAGGTTTCAACTGTTTGGTTTGAGATTGGACAATCGAAATGTTGAATCTTGACTTTATAGGATAGTGACAAATGACCATCAGGCTTGGCTCATCTAAACGAATATCACGAAGGGAGCACGAAGAAATTGAAAAACCAAGTTATTTGGGGCCCAAAAAAATCATAGCATCCTGCATAAATGGGAAATGGCAAGGGGAAGTTGAGCTTGTCGTGCTGTGATAATTAAACCACACCGACCAGCACTAATAAGAAGATGCCACTGCCGAATTGTTCATTGATATAAAACTCAAAACTTGAAGTTTCTGAGGTTAGTCCCCAGCGTACATTTGCTTATAAAAAGTCAAAATGTTATCAAACCAAACCAGAACGTGGGCCTGCGCAGTTTTTGCAATAAACCAGAAACCGGTTCCTCTAGCTGGTTGAACTAGGGAACTGGCCGACCTGGTTACCTGTCTTTATTTGGAAAAATTGTTTTTACATACAAAATTAAACTAATTATATATAATTATATCGGAAAAAAAAAAGGGAAAAAACATGCATACCGATTCAAGCCTGCTAACTACTAACACTCCCTGGTTGTCCGACAACTACTGACTATTGGGTGCAGAGTTCTGTCAACGTCAGTTGAACCGATGAACTGAAGCCAGACTGGCTCATCCTTTTATTAGAATAACACACTCTTATCACTCTCATATCAAGAAATAGTATCATTACAATCGCAAAATACAATTGCATGTTGAACACATTTGCAACAGCAAATAAATTTGCCACTTCAATTGGGCATAAACTGTGGTCCTCTTCCTACAAATGGGCTACGTATCTATAACTGAAACGAGTAATGGAATATGTGTGCGCCTAACAACTAGTTCTGCTGTTTTCCACCTCAAAATTTGTTTCCTGAATCTTGAGGCAAGATGGAAAATACAAGATTATCCTTCATCTGGGGGTCACCTCAGTTATTGTAACTGGAACAGAGCTCATCTGGTAGCTAGTAGAGTCGGTCGAAAATTTTTTCGTGGAAGGTCCCCCGCTATGGCTATCTGAATCTTGGAAGAAACCTGGAGCAGTGAGTAGCTCGTCATTTAGCCGGATTTTCTTCGAAAGCATGTCAACAACCTGGCTCATGAGTGGCCTTCGGTTTGCCACTGATTGGGTGCAGAAAAAGGCAACTTTAATGTACCGAATGACTTCTTCCTCAGGAAATTCTACCATTTCTGGATCCACGAGTTCCAAGGGTTTCCCTTCTTCGTGAAGCTGCCATGCCTATAGAAGCAGGCAAGAGTCATCAAAATGTACAAGATAGCTAGCTAGTGAACAAGATCAGATAGAGCGAGGAAAATTTGAAATACCAAAAATTATGGCATTATTCTACAAAAGAGGCTTCATTTAGTCTAAACTTTCTTCCTATTTCAGAACTTATCACTGTTGCCACAGCAGAATTCCAAATAGTTTTCAAAACCTCTCTAAGCTATAATTAAATGGCATATTGATTATTCTGAGCAGAAATGCAAAATTTCAGAATTGAAAGTTCTGTTACCTACGTAATCCTGAGGAATATAGCCTACTTTCTGAACAATCACTAGAAGAAACAACTAGAAAGGATGGAAAGTTACAAAATGAATGCATACTAATTACTACAAAAAAAATGATCTCCAACATCCTGGCAACCAGAAAAGAGCAATATAAATCTGAAGCTATCAGGAAGTTTATTGAAATTTGCAAAAGGAAAATCAACACACCCATTCTAGGAGTAACTTCTGCATCCCTCCCCAGCTTGGCTTTGAGCTACTTTTGCCACTGATTATTTCAAGGATAAGGACCCCAAAACTGTACACATCAGCCTTCATGGTCAACTGACCACCCAATGCATATTCTGGTGCCAAATAACCACTGCATAGGAAAAACAGAACAAGGGTATAGTTATTTGGTTTCCCTTACGACAAAAAATTTATAGAAAAACTGTAGGAAAAAAAGCAATGCAAACTGCTCAACATGAAACATTTATTTCATGAAGAGAAATCAAAGTAAATATTTGATTCATATTGTCAGCGGTAAGAAAAGAAAAGCAAATTAAAGAAAAAAAAAAGAGTCAAGCCTTGAGTCCATGACCAAGTTTCAGAAAGTGAAAATTAAGAGATTATGGAGTCAAAATCAGAATGAATGAGGGATGACCCTCCAAGTAGGAAATGGAAAGGTAAGCAGAATTAAAGAATAAGAAAGACCTGAAATGTTTATTTCATGAAGTGAAATCAAAGAGACTTGTCATCTTGAATTTGACACAGGATCTGATAGAAACTATATGTAGGAAGATTGATGGGTTCAAAACTGAGTTGCATCTAGTTCTCAGATGATTGTTAACAAGTCAGAATTTATTCTGCATGACCAATAAAGAAGTAACATTGTTGATGCTGATGATGGAGTGTTAATTGCTTAGTATATGTAGTTCCCTTTGCTATTGTTACAGGAGGAAGGAAAAATCTTTTTTGAAATTTAGCAACAATAAGGACTGAGAAACAAACTTTTTGGCTATGAGAATTTAGCAGTTCAACACTGCAGCTCAGTGGTTTGTCTAAAGCAATTGCTTAAAGTAAAATATGGTCAAAAGAACAGCAACATACGTTGTTCCTGCTATCCTTGTGCTAATGTGGGTGATATTATCTGGGAACAGTTTAGCCAACCCAAAGTCTCCAATTTTTGGGTTGAAGTCTTTGTCAAGAAGTACGTTGCTAGCCTTGATGTCTCTATGCACAATATGTGGTACCAGTTCTTCGTGAAGGAAAGCAAGACCCCGAGCAATACCCAAGCAAATAGCAGATCTTCTTCCCCAGTCTAGTCTAATATTTGTACTCCTTGAACCTGAAAGTAGAGAAAAGGATAAAAAATATTACACATTTCTGTCTTGCCATGATAAGGAATAACCAGTGTTCAGCTTTCACCATAAAACTTCTGTTAAATTTACCTAACAATGCACGATCAAGACTGTTATTTTCTACATATTCGTATACTAGAATCCGATTTGTTTCTTGAACACAGCACCCTATCAACTCAACAAGATTTGGATGCCTGACTTTTGATATAGTTTTGATTTCATTCACAAATTCGCGCACACCTTGCTTTGATTGAGCGGAAAGTGTCTTTACAGCCACTTGTATTCCATTCCTGAGGGTTCCCTAGCAATGTTTCAAAATAGAAAATAAGTATAAGTCTTTGTAAATGTAAATTGGTCAAAATGATATTGCATCTTCAATACAATGATGCCAAAATATAAATAGAGATTGTTCCAAGATATGTCCCGTCATGAGAGAATGATAACTAAGCAAATTGAGTTAAATATTAGTCTTGGAAAGAAAGAGGGGCCTAATTACTGGTGTTAATTTTAAGCTCTTCAACAAAAATAAAGCAGATGAGCTTAAGTGACCACATAAAAGATAGCAATATGAAAATCTCAGAATATCTCCAGGGTAGTAGAATCGATTTCCAATGTGCTTGAATGATAAATATGGGAAAAAAAAATTTGCCGTGGACAAAAATCATAATGTGTATTTGATGTCAACATAAGGATATAACTTCAAGCACTGTAAGAATCTGGATAGATCAGAAAAGAAGCAGTTTAGATTGTTGCATGCTTCATATTTTTGTACATTAAGTTTTGAACCAGACTCTGATTATTCCCTTTACTACTCCATTCAATGACCTGAGGTTACAAGTTATGTCAACAATAAATGAATAATGGTCATGAAATTTAGATAGGAAACCAACTGGAAAGTAAAGCACGCTACATATTTTGTTATTGAATGCATTCACAAGGATAACAGTATTAAGTTCGACGCTTTCCACAAAATTAACAAGCAAATTGATTTGGCAGAACTGTGATGACTAAAACCATCTGAAAAATTCTGACCACCTTGTAAACAATGCCAAAACCTCCTCGTCCTATCTGATTGGTTGAATGGAAGTTATCTGTTGCTGATCTTAATTCATTGTAAGATAGATGGTTAATATCCTGAAGCAAATCACCTACCAACACAAAAAGGAGGTGCAACAGAAAGAAGTTACAAGGAGAAAATCACAGTATAATGATGTATGAGAAAGGATTTGAAGAGGGGGGGGGGTGGATCCATGTGAATTTTGGTTACATTATCCCAATTGAGTGGTTGATATTTGACGGCTAGAATTACAAAAACCAAAATGATAATGCTGAGAAAGTAAGATCTTAAATAAATAATCTGTAAGATAACCGCAGAAAAAATGGCCTTTATGGTCTGTAAAGTCACAAAATACAGGCCCACAAGCATTAATCTTGCCTAGAAAACAATTCAGCTAAATCTACATGGCTAGGCTACATACTTATGCTC